CTTGGCCTTCTTGTCTCACGACCATGGCCATCACATATGACACGGCCATGGACCTCTTAATCATCCACATGGCACTTCTCATGAGGCGGCATGGCCTTTCCAGACTTAGAATATTTTTGGATCGTTTGAACTTGATCATGAGGCGGCATGACATCTTCATTCGCGACCATGGACTTCTCAATCATGTATGTAGCCCTTCCCGTGACACGACATGGCCTTCTCATACTTAGAATTTTTCATAGTGCCTAAGGCCTCTTTTCTCGCGTCCATGCCCCTTCTCGTGAAGTGGCATGGACCTCTAAGACTTCGTCATTTTTTGTCTCAAATGAGAGATGTTTCACGCGTCATGGCATCTTCCTTCTTCAGCCATGCCATCATCTCTCTCATTAAGAAGACATGTACTTCTTCATTGTGACGGGTATGACCCTCTTTGTGAAGCGACACATGCCTCTTCAGACTTAGAATATTTTTTACCATACTGGGGTCTCTTGTCTCGCATTCATGGCCCTTCTCGTTGAGATGGCATGTACTTCTAAATTCTAGAAGGAGGCATGTACTTCTAAATTCTAGATGGACATGGCCCTCTTTGTGAAGCGGCACGTGATTCTCCTTGAAGTGGCATGTACCTCATCCAGACTTAGTTTATTTTTCAGTCATTCGACCTTGGTCGTAGGGCGGCATGTGCTCCTCTATTTCTAGACGGACATGGCCCTTCTAGTTGAGGCGGCATGTGCCTCTAGACTTTAGATGGACATGGCTCTTCTCGTTGAAGCGACATGTCCCTCTTCAGACTTAGTTGTTTGGGCTTAAAATCAATATCAATAAGGCCCAACTTAAACAACATTAATTGTTAAAATGGGTGTGGCCTTTTAAACTTATTGATTATCTTGTAACTCACCAATGTGGTACAAGATAAAATTTATGGTGTAAACACAAGCTTAAATCCGCACGCTGGGAGAAGCCAGAAACTCCAGGCAGTCTATAGACCACAAAAGCAGCTCCCCAATGGAAGAATTAATTCCCCTTGGTAACATTTTCCCAACAGCCAACAGGAAGCAACAGGGTACGTGATGGACAGGTGTGCGCCGAAAGGGGTGGGCTTGCGTACGAGCAAGGAGGAAACGATGCTTACCTTTGTGCCCTTCAATTCCGGTCACAGGAAACCAAGTTAGTGAAAGAAAGCCCGGTCCAGTAAATTATCCAAGTGTCCGCCCCAACAAAAGGAAAAGTGGACTGTACCTAGGGGTGTAAGCTTGACCCCGTCTCATCCCTGAGGATCAAGACAAGTCAGTTTGTCTACAGGGTCAGATTAGGGACGGGTCATTTGTTGACCCTGTAAGGGTTGGGAGAGGTAGGGACGATTTGGGGGCGGGTCACTTTTTGACCCTGTAACCCTTGACAACAACAAATATCTCATACAAAATTGGACCTCTTTGTAAAGTTTTAAAAGTTTAGGTACTAAATTATAAAAATAAAAAATTTGGGTACCAAAATGTATTTTCACCATCAAAATTTATGGATATATTTGTAAAAAATAAAATTTAGGTAGTGAATTGTAAGAATAAATAATTTTGGGTACCAAAACGTAGTTTATAAAAAAGTAGTGTGTTGATTAGGGTCGGCCCACCGTCTCGACCCGTCCCAACCCTTACGGGTCATATAGGGTCAAGAAGTAGACATGGATGCGATGGGTCAGTTATACATCTTGACCCTTCAGGGACAGGTAAGACAGGGTTCGGGACGGGTCAGGATTTTCAGCCCTACTTGTACCATTAGTTCATGCCTTAAGTGGGAATATTCGATGCCGAGCTGGGAATTGGGCGAGCTTCGTGTTTCACGTGGAACTGAAGAGAACTAGACAACAATGATCTTTATTTCCTGGGGTAAAAATCCAAGAAATTAAAAAAAAAAATCTAAACTACTGCACTTGTAAATTTTTTCTCCAAAATACCTAAGTTTGTTATGGATCGAGTAAGAAAGACTCGTTCCACTACCAAACGACGCGAATTGAGAGCCTCGTAGCAATTTATTTTTATTTTGCATAATAATTTGGGCGTAATTACACATATTTTACCTTTCATTTCTTGGTCGTTTGACTTGGTAATCGTCGCTACTCGACCTATTTTACGCTAGGTTTTGTTTTTTTTGACATACTTCAGGTCCTAGTACGTATGGAAAGGTCGAGTAGGAGTTTCAGGACGATTGAGAGTCCAAACGTGCCAAAAGGTGAAGAAGATCCCAAGATCACGACTTGAGGGAAAGTTCACGCCTTCGGCCCGTGAACATTGATCCTAGGTCGTGAAGTCTGCATATGTTCCAGGGGAATTCACACGTCTCGTGGACAGAGTCGTGATCACGGTCACAGACCGTGATCTTTGTGAAGAGAGCATGAATTTTGAGCACGAAAAGGTGTGGCTTCGGTTGGATCACGGGCTGCCTGTCGAGATCACGACCATGATCTTCAGCCCGTGATTTTGGCGCTTGGGCTGTATAAAAAGGTAGTAGCTGGGAGAGAGAAATGCAAGCTTGGCAGGGTTTGAAATTTTAGGGTTCTTCTTTAAAGTTGCGACTTGCGACCCAAAGGGGCACTTGTAGAGAGATAGAGATTTATCTTTAGTGATCTTGGAACTCAATTGGGAGCTTGTGCTGATCTTGGAGTCAAAGATTCAATCCTAGAAGATGAAGATCTTGAGCTATTTTGTAAACTCTCTCTTCTCTCTACGAATTAGTCCTCTTCTCTTAGGTTAAAGAACCCTAGTTCTATATTTTAGTTTGGTGTTGATGTATGTGATGAATCCTACATTTGATTGCTGATTTGATTAAGTTGATGGATGATTTTCATGAGTTGCATGAGTGTTGATTCCATTTCATGTCAAATTGGATTTTTTTACCTAGGAGGGAGAAAATCCCCTTAGAGCTCATTATTGGCGTCTTAGGGTCGCTCATATCATATGTTGTTCTGGGTAATCCCCGAGGGAGTCAATTTCTTGACGGTATTTGAATCCCTAGGTTGAATAGAGCACTACCCATTCATTGATCGCTATTCCGGTTGAATTCTCGAGGGAGTCTATCTCCTATTGGTAGATGAATTGAGCCAATTGAGCTAGGAAGGTACGTAACATCGGTCCAAATGATAGAACTAGGGGGATCAAGTTAAGAGAGCTCCACAAACTTGTAATTGGCTAGGGTAGTGGTTAGGTTAGTGTAGTTAGCTTAGTTTCTTATTACTATTCTATGTTGGCTAGATAACGAAACTATAACCTGAAGTAAGGTACACCTAGAGACCTGTGGTTCGATAATTTTTATTACTTGCTTACACTATGCAAAATGATGAAAATGGGGGCAATCCCCAAATTTGGGGACTAGTATTGAAGTTGGTCTTAGCGGGAAGGCGGAGAAGAAACGGGAATGACCATCCTTGGATATATGGGAAGTTAAAGAAAGAAGACAATGGCGGAGCGAAGAGACGGCGAGATGATCAGTCAGTTCACGATTTTTCCTGTGATGGGTAGGGGGCACGGGTTGGGTGTCTATTGACGTGGCCGATTTTCATAATAATTTTTTTTGTTAAAATTAGATGAATAGACATTTTTGTTAGTCACGTCAGCAAAAAACTGATGTCGTTAATAAAAGTTGACAGAGACTAACGGTAAGTGACTAAACTTGGAATGTTAAACTAAACTGAGTTACCACAAATATAATTAAATATTTTTAGTGATCAAATATAAACATTTTTTAGTAATTCTAATGACCAACCTTATAATTTATCTGTAAATTAAATGAATAATATGCAGCTATTTTTTTGGAAGTTAGAGAAGTAAGTTGATATTAGGCATCGACAAAGAGGCAGGAAGGAGGGGCCCGGGGGGGAGGCAGAGGTCAGGTGGGTGAGAGGCTAGTGAATGTAGCAGCCAAGCTGCAGGGAATGGAATGGTAGTCTTTCTTTCTTTATTTAAGGACTAAGGTGGGTGTGGCGTCCTTAATTACTAGGCTCGCATGCCCTCTGCGATTTGGCATTTGTGCTTCTGGATGCATCACATTCACTACAGCTCATCCTGTGGGGCATCAGCAGTAGTAGTTGGATTTCTGTTCCCTAAAATAAATGAAGAACCTCCCACTCCCATTCCTCTCCTCCTCCCACCAACTTCGTCATTACTCAACCAACCCTCCTAACTAAATTTCTCATCACCTCACAAATGCAATTGTGATGTGTTGTTACCCGGTGATAAACAAAAACAATTACCAAGAGACTCTTTTTTTTTTAAGTAGTCCTTCTAATATTTCGAATCTTGTTTCGATAAAATATTATTGCCTTTTGGTCTATATACTCATATGGTTTTTGGTGTTAGGGTGTATATGAACGTGACTTTCATCAGTTCATCTATCTTTATAGTGGTTTAGAATGAACACATTTAATTTCGGAGTTCTTAAAAGGACTTCTCCATTTCACCCCACCAATGTGGTTAAAATCGCGCTTCAAATCTTAAAAAACTTAGGGTTTTACGCTTCTAGATCACCAAAACATTTCTACGCATAATCTTCATTTTTCTAATTAATGTAGTTAAAAACTACGCTTTAAAGCTTACAGTTTTACATCACCAAAAGGTGCAAAACGCTTCTACATAGAAACACACTTTTGACTACATTACACCTCATAATGCATCTGCTAATTAATGTCCATTTCATTAATTGATATCCACACTCACACGACTTCCAATCACAAACACACACGTATCCTGGAGATGTGGATATGAAATAATTAATCAGATTTGGCGTTCTTGATGTGGATGGATGATTGAACTACTTTGGAAGGTCGGTTTCCTGTGTATTAATTAGCTAGCTAGCTAGCCAATGTGCTAGACCTTGGAATTTATGTAGCCAACACTTACTTCAGAATTCTAATGCTTGTCGTTTCAGCAGACTAGATTGCAAAACCCTATTGTGATTTGTGAGTAGTAAACAGTGTTTTCACATAAATATATAGCAGCACCGTAGTGGCACCTGGAGTCATGACTTCATTGACCTAGGTAAGGTTTGAGCCCTGACCTACGTACTCCATGATCATGCTCGCCCTTTTTAGACGTGCAACTACTGTATATTAATTATTATATTGGGTTTTGAATTTTGACGATCGTTGATGAAAGCACTTAAATCGATTTTTTTTTTTTTTTTAACTTGGGGTGACCTAGAAGACATTAGCACTTAAATCGTGAATTGTGTCCTCCAAGACCATAAATATGCAAGATGAAAGATCATATCAAAGTTCAAATGCTCTGCTTAAAAATCTCTTTGAAAACAGAGGACTAGTGTACATTCAATTTTAGGCTTTTCCAATCATATAACAGATGGACTTACTCAGCACACTACATATGCAGAACAAAAAGGAAGAAATGAACAAAGATTGCTCCATACAAATTAAAGGACAAAGGGGGAACTAGCTAAGAAATTCCACATACAACAATATTCGACCCTTCCGATAACCGGAACCAGGAGGGGTTTAGTTTTAGTTTTAACCTTGCTGTAAATTATTTTCCTTATTATTTTCTTCTCCACAGATGGGTGAGAAAAAAAATTAAGAAGCGATTTTCCAGCTGGAGGAGACTGTAATTAACTATGACTACACAGCGTTTCTCACCCTCCCAAAGGAACACCATCTTCCCAAAGACACCGACCTTCGCTTCTTCATAACAGCGCTTCCTCCTTTACTTTCTTCTTCATCTACCGATGCGTGGCGGCGGTGGCGGTGCAGCCCAGAGCAGGAGAAGCACCGGCTCGGCCCCCACGCCTTACTCCCGTGCGCGTTGGAGGAGGAAGACGATGAGGACGTGGAGGAGGAGGAGGAGTAGGACAGCGAGCAATTGGAATTGGAATTGTAACTGTGGTCGGAATAATGATGAGAAGAATAGGAGGAAGATGTGGTGGCAGAGGACCTCGAGGCGGCGGCGGCGCTGGGTTTGGAGAAAAGGGCTCTGAAGAGGAAGTTCGGCAGCCTGATGGCGGCGGCGGAGGAGGAGCGGAAGCGGCGGCGGCGGCGGGAGTGATTGGAGGAGGAGTAGAAGGAAGGCGGAGGAGTCAGCGGCGGGAGATGAGAGGAGTGGTCGTCGTTGGAGGAGAAGAGGCGGTGTTTGGGAGTTCCAGGTGCGGATTCCCAGGTGAAGGGGACGGAGCCCGGTGCGCCGCCGTAGTAGACCCTGAAGGAAGGGTTAGGAGTAGCCATGTCTTTTGACATCATCATCATCATCATCCTGCTGTTGCTCAACTTTGCGTCTTGCTGCTGCTGCTGCTTCGCGCTTGCAAGTTTTGTCTCATAATATGAGAGTGAGAATGGGAGTGGGATGATGGATGGTCCTCCCCGCCTCATTCATGAATTGATGGCGCCATCTTGCCCCACATACATACACACCTCCTTCTCTCCATAAATATCCCTTTTCGTTTTCGACATTACTATTTTTCAACTGCCATGGATCCAACTGTTATCAATGTTTTCAAGGACGGCCCACTATTAATGCTACATGACGAGTGCACTGTATCGCTCTACTTGTTGCCCACCTCACATCTAGTGTTGGCAACGGAGCGGATCGGGGTCGGGTAGTTTATTGGAATTGGGCCAGCAACGTCAAGCTCACGGACCGCAGCCCAACTCCCAATTGACCTCGTCCCAGGCTTGCTGTGCACACTATAGGTGTCAATCGGGCGGGTTCAGGCGGGGTTCAGGCGGGTTCGGGTTCAAACGGGTTGCGGGTTCATCGGGTTCGGATTCAATCGGGTTGCGGGTTCACCGGGTTTTGGGTCGGGCGGGTTGCGGGCGGGTCGGGTTTCGGGTTGTTCGGGCCAGCGCATCAAGTAACTTAACTCATTACTCATTACCAACTTACACATTTTATTACACTAATTTAAAATATTTTCTCAACTTTTTAACCAATTTATTTCTACCTCGTATATATATACTTTATTTTTTTGAAAAAAACTAGTCAAAATGTTAAATCAATTTGTATGACTTGCAAACTTGTTATGTAATTAATCATAATTGGTAAAGTATTATAGCTAATAATAATGGTGATATCAATATTTGCAACCAAAAGACACCGTTAATTGTTTATTTGATATTTTAATATTAATTCAGTAGTAATTGGATTAAAGCATCTCGTTTAGTATAACCATGCAAATCTGGTATTTGGCGTGTGGTATTTGGCAAAAGCATAGTGATAAAAGGAGTTATTTCAAAATAACTCATTGCCTAAATAACTTTAGTAAATTGTTGACAAACAAGTTATTTGTAAAATTGTTCGAATTATCCTAAAAATTGAACCATTAAAGATTAGCTATCAAATTTAGTAAAATTATGGTGACTTCAATCATAACTTACTCAATAACATATATCCTATACACTTAGCTTTACCCTCAATCAACAATATTAAGTTAGTATATGTTGTTGATTGTATACCCTAAACCATCAATACATTATACACTAATCACATAACCTATACCCTAATCATATGTCCTTGAGTTGTGATTTTGCTAGTATAGTTAATTTAAAAGTGAAATTCATACTTTGATTTTCAAAACATAGATAAAAAGTGATATTTGCTAATTGTTATACTCTAACCATATATCCTATACTTTACACCACATACCTTGTACCCTAACCACGTACCATAAACAAAAATTAAAAAGGGATCTCCTGCCGTTAAAGACTTCAAATGACTTCAAGTGAACATATGTTAATAAAAAACTTAGAACCGTCAAAACCATCAATATCTTATACCCTAACCATATACACCCTAAACCATATGTACCTTATACCTTATACCCTAACCATATACTTTATATCCTAAACAACGAACCGTCAAAAATTACATATCAAGTTTAGTATAAATTGTTGTAACTAATGGTTAATTTATTTATTAGCCCATAAAAAATTACATACATATATACATATTAGCCTTCAAAGCATATAAGAATAATTTTAACTAGTCATGCCCTCCATATAAAAGTTAAAGATTCATATTTCAAAAGCTAAAATTATGAAAAACCAAAAAATTGAAAACACCAAATTTGTTTCCTTCTTTCTTTTCACAAAAATACTAAAATTTCCCTCCTTCTTTCTCCTTCCATACATTAGAAAAACTCAATTTTCCCTCCTCTTTCTCTTCCATAAAATTGAAAGAAACTTATTACCCTCTTGTTTCCTTCTACAAAAAGTTGAAAAGTCAAAAGTTCCCCTCCTTATTTCTCTTTCATAATCAAAAGAATCAAACTTTCCCACTTCTTTCTCTTCCCACATATCAAAACCACCAAAATTCCCACTTGTTTCTTTTCTAAAAAATTCAAAGAACCAAATTTCCCTCTTCTTTCTCTTCCCAAAAACTTGAATACACCAAAATTTCTCTCTTCTTTAAAAATATCAAATTACCAAATACATTACTTTACTTTATTTATATTTAATTGATAATTTTATTGAATAGTTAAATTAACCAAAATTTTAATTTATATATTATATTAATATTGTCATGATCTCAAGTGACCTTCATCTTTCAATTTTTGTAATTTACTTAAAATACGTAATATCAAGTGAGTTTCATATTTTTAAAATTTCTTATACGAAATGAAAAAAAAAATTAACTTAAGTTTAGAATGAAAAACTTTGTTTTGAAAAACTATGTATTGTATATTTTTATAATTATTCAAGTGGATTAGATGAAATTCGGGTTGAGTCGGTCGGGTTACGGGTTAGTCGGGTTTGGGTCAATCGGGTTCGGGTTAATCGGGTTGCGGGTCAGCCGGATTGCGGGTCAATCAGGTTCGGGTTAATCGGGTTGCGGGTTAGTCGGGTTGCGGGTTAGTTGGGTTGCGGGTCAATCGGGTTGCGGGTCGGGCGGGTTACAGGTTGTTGACTTTTAGTCAATTCGGGTTGCGGGTCGGGTTGATCGGGCGGGTTAATCGGGTCGGGCTATGTTTTGACACCTATAGTGCACACAATGGAATCCGTAATCAGTAAGGCTGTAGCTTAATTACTTGTCTAAGTTGTAAAATCCTAGATGATTGGAGAAAAGGGTATATATATTGTGTAAGGCCATCGGCCACAACCTAAGAAACAGCCTGATAAAATATCAGTTGGAGAGTTGATATCTCACGTGGACTAGTCCCGACAATCGGGGATACCACATAAATTGCGCGTGTCTTGCTTATCGATTCTTCAATATTTTACATGGTATCAAAGCATTGATCCATTCTCCGTTCATCGATCATGTCTGGGAAGGACTCCACCCTAACCACGCCTGGTTCGAAATCGAGCGATTCTGGCTCGGCAGACACTGACCGCGATAGTCATAGTCCGTTCTTCATGCATCAGTCAGATATTACTGGCCATCTTCACGTCAGTAGCTTGCTTACGTCGTCATACTATAACGAGTGGGTTCTAGAGTTGACTGATGCTCTCGTTACGTAGAACAAAGTTGGATTCGTCGACGGGACCGTTCCTCGTCCAGCGGGAGATGGGACACCTCAGTTCCTCGTATGGGCACGTTGTGATGCCTTAGGCAAAGGCTGGCTCCGCACAACCATGGACGCAGAGATGCGAAGCAGCATGATGCACACTAAAACTGCCCAGGAGATAGGGAGGATCTCCGGGATCGATTCAGTAAAGGCAATCTGACGAGGGCCTATGAGCTCCGTCGTCATGTAGTTTTGCTTCAGCAAGAAAAGCAGTTTGTTTCCGCGTTCTACACGAAATTGCGGAAAGTGTGGGAGGAGACGCAGACCATTCTGCCGCCACCATTGTAAACTTGCGGGCGGTTTGGTCGTGATCAGAATGAGAGTCTCCTCCTCATGATTTTTTGAAGGGCCTGGATGACTTGTACGCCACTGTGAAGTCAAATTTTGTCAATGGCGGTGACGCCATCTCTCCCCGAAGCCTTTAGAATTGTCTACAATGAGGAGCAACAACGGACTCTGACATAGAACCGCAAGCCAATCCCTAAAGCTGCAGCTTTTGTTGCGCGGGGGATGGAGAATGTCCTTCTTCAGCTGGCCGCAACGCGCGTGATCAGAATGTCGGGGAAAGAGAGCGCCCGCATTGTAGCAATTGCCTCAAGCCTGGACACTTACGGGAATCATGCTATGAATTAATAGGCTATCCCCCAGGCTGGAATTCATGAGAGAAGCAAGGCAACAGGTCAGGGAGGCGCCGATCTCGTGAGTCGGGACGAGATGGTGGGACTGCTCGTGGTCAAGGAAGGGAGCCGAGAGCCTCCCAGGTTGACACTAACGTCAGCCCCGTCGCTGGTTTCAGCTTGCAGCAGCTGGAACAATTGAAACAATTTTTTGGGAACCAATTTCAAGGAGCGGCAGATCCCACAAGCCATATGGCTGGTACGTTTTCTTCGTTTGATGATCCTGAATGGCTAATTGACTCATGATGTAACGAACATATTACCATGGATGAATCAGTTTTGTCTTCCTCTAACGTTGAATTGCCAAGTCGTCATGTTCGAATACCCAATGGAGCCAGCATACCGGTGAAGCATATTGGTTTCGTCCATTTAAGTGACCAGATGACGTTCAGTCGAGTTTTATATGTACCGGATTTTCGTTGTAACCTCCTGTCGGTAAGTCGTCTTTGTCAAGAGCATAATGTGGCTTTAATCTTTCTTGGGAACTTCTGCGTTATGCAGGACTTACGCTCCAAGAACGTGATTGGGAAGGGGGAGATAAGTGATGGGCTATATTTCTTGCGATTGTTTGGATGTCGTGGGACTCGTGCACATGCAGTGGTAGAGAGACCCTCGAGTCGGGGGATTCCATGGCATGCAAGACTTGGACATCCTTCGTAGGCTGTAATGATTGACCTCAGTAAATTTTTACATTTATCTACAGATTTTGACTAATGATCTTTGTCATTCTTGTTCTCGAGCTAAGCAGACTCAAAACTCTTTCCCTGTCAGTCGGGTTCGTACTTCTTCATGTTTTGAGTTCTTGCACATGGATACTTGGGGTGGGTATCATACCCCATCATACAGTAGTGCACATTACTTCTTGACGATTGTTAATGATTTTAGTCGTGGTGTTTGGGTCTACCTTATTCGTTTTAAGTCTGAGGTTGGCCGGTATCTCCAGTTTTTTTGCAATCCCGTTCGAACTCAATTTGGCAAACAGGTGAAGAGAATTTAGGTTGATATTGGTCCCGAATTTAACGCTACTATGCTGCGAGATTTCTATGAAAAAGAAGGCATCTTGCTCCAAACCTCATGCACAGACACACCGCAGCAGAATGGAGTAGTGGAACGCAAGCATCGTCATCTGTTGGAAACAACGCGAGCCTTGCGGTTTCAGGCTAGTCTGCCTATTCGATTCTGGGGAGAATGCATCCTTACTGCTGCTTATTTGATAAACAGATTATCCACGAAGGCAACAGGTCGTACCCCGTACGAAATCATTTTTGGGAAGCCAGCTGCTTACTCACATTTGCGAGTTTTCGGGTGCCTCGTATACTGCAAGGATACTCATGCTAATCTCGGCAAGTTTGAAGAACGAGGACGAGCCTGTGTCTTCCTTGGATATGCATCTAACCAAAAAGGATACAGAGCATATGACCTCACGACCCGTAAAATCTATACGAGTCGTGACATCATTTTTCATGAGTCTGTTTCCCATTTCAAACAGACATGGCTCGGCATTTTCCTTGGGTTTCACCCTCCGCAGGTCCAGCAGAAGATTTGGAAGAAGTGCTGATCCTTGAGGATAACACGCCCCACACCGTGGACAATCTTGGGCTGCCTTCCGCAATCCCAAAGGAGACTTCCCACTCGCCTAGGCCCTCGGCATACGGCCCACGCCACTCTGGCGAAGACACTTCCTGCTCGCCAAATGGCCCGACTCCGCAGGCCCAGCTCGATCGCTCTCCTTGTTCAGTTGAGAAATCAGCCTCATGTGACCAGGCCGAGCCTAGTCCAAAGCCCACGTCCGTCCCAGCCGCTGAGCCTGGAGACTCCACAATATCCAGCCCGCTTCCACCCGGCTTCTATCCCGAACCGCCTCGAAGCAGTGATCGACAACGGGTTCCCCCCAAGCGCCTTGACATCTATTATACAGGGAGTCATGCCAACTTTGTGCATTATCCTCTTTCTAATAACCTTTCCTATGATCATTTTTCTGCTAATTATTGTGCCTTTCTTGCTGCAATGGCACATAACTCGGAGCCTCAAACATTTTATGAGGTTGTTCGAGAAGAATGCTGGCACCGAGCTATGATTGCGGAAGTAACAGCATTAGAGAAGAATGAGACTTGGGTCTTGCCTATCTCCCTCCTGGAAAGTGCGTTATGGTTGCAAGTGGGTATACAAGATTAAGTTCTATCCTGTTGGCACAATTGAGCGCTACAAGGCTCGGTTGGTGGCAAAAGGCTACACTCAGATAGATGGTGTGGATTTTCATGATACTTTTGCGCCAATGGCTAAACTTGTCACAATTCGTTGCCTTCTCGCAGTTGCTGTTAGCAAGGGATGGCATATTCACCAGTTGGATGTCAACAATGCGTTTCTTCACGGAGATCTGGATGAAGAGCCAGGAGAGAAACCTATTACTAGGAATATAAAATTTTGCCCACAAAAGACGCCACCAAGCTGCTGCAGGTTGCTTACTACGCAAGGAGTTCCATATTACTGTAATTTTATACTTCACCAGCATCTTGCCTTCCCAGGATACCTCTCCTCTTGCCTCTTCAATTAATTAATAGTAGAACCACGATCAAAGTCTGAGTACCTTCCTCCAAATCCAGGAGCGACTTTGAGTTTCTTTCAAATCCCAAAACCGTCTCCCTTTAATTTTGTATTTATAGACCCAGGCTACCCAGAACGACCCACCTTGCATTAAGAGAAGCCAGATCAACTTCCCTACAGAAGAGACATTCCAAACAGTAAGTACTCAAGTTTCCATCTTCTTTCTCTTCCAAATAATTGAAAGAACAAAATTTTCCCCTTCGTTCCTTCTAAAAAAAGTTGAAAACACAAAAATATCTCCTTTATTTCACTTTTAACAAATAAAAATGGAAAAATACATATGTGTTGCCAAAATTTTCGCGTTTGTGACAATAATAGCCACTTTTCGAGAAATACACAAAATAGCTAGAATTTTGAAAGTTTCATGACAAATATAACCATTTTTCGTTATAAACTTCAACGACGCTAGTGACACCGTTTATTATTGTAACAGTATACTTACTGGGCTGCCAACTCACTAGACACGTCATCGACAACTCAACCTAGGATGATTGGTGGATGACACACCATTTTTAATTAAATATGTCTTTTTTTAGGGTTTTATACCCTACCTCGTCCTTCAACAAAATTATTAAAAATATATCTTACTTTATTCCCCCTCTCCTTCCTCTATCTCCCCCTCTTACCAGCCGTCGCCGTCGTGCAACCCCAACTCTCTACCTCCGTCCATCACAATCCTCACAATCGACACGATTGACCCTCCTGGATGGCGGATAGAGGGTTGGGAGGTGATGCGACGAAGATGAATCTGTGGGAGGCCCCCTGCCACCCTTTGTCTCGGTGAAGACGAACGTGAAGTGCCAACGGAGAATATGCAGGCGCGACTAGATCTGGTCTCACCATCCGAAGTGCTGGAAGAGAAAGAAGATGAGAATGGATGTTGCCTTCGAGAGACTGCAAAGAGGAAGAAGTGCATTGGGGAGAGGCGGAAAAAAAAAGAGGGCTCTCCAGATTTCGCAATTCAGAAAAAGAAGGTTATGGGTTCTGGTTCTGTTCACCATTTACAGATCCGCAATTCCTGTTGTGTCTAGTTTTGCCAATTTGATGGATTCCCCTGCCACGTATAGGGTTGGAATTGAGTTTTTTATTGGCGTTTTTGGCAGAGGGATTTTTCGCTGGAGGCTTATCATCACTATTTCAGAACTCCAACTCTGATGAGTATCTTCAGTGCTGGTGATGGACGAGAGGAAGAGGAAGACAATATCGTCGAATTGATCTTTGCGGCAGTTGCGATGCTCACCTCCTTACGTCGCTCCCTACCTCATTCTTCTCTCTGCCTTTGTCGCTGTAGATGGATCTTGAAACGAGGAGGACGAGAAAGAAGGGTGGCACTGGTTTCTCTGCGGAGCAATTGCGAGCGCGGCAAAGAGAAGCATAAATGGAGGCGGTTGTGATCCTCACCTCTTTGCCTCGTCGTTGAAGCTGTTGATCCTGATTAGGGAGAACTCGGACTTGAAGAATATGATTTGTGGGTCGGTTGGTGTTAGAGTTTGTGTAGGGTAAAAGTGAAGATATTCTTGATTTTCCAGATCTTCAATTTGGATAGCAGAGGGTTCTGGGTATGTCGTTCTCTGCTTGTCGTTTTGCTTCTGGGTTTGTCTGTGGCTGCTCAATCTACAATACCCACTCCCCATCATCGACTTCTTCTTCCAAAACCCACTATGGATTCAAAGAGGTAGAAAATGCAGTAGAATGGTCGCCAATGAGGAAGTTGAAGCATTTCGACGACCAATGGATATGCTTGTTTATTGTTGTTTTATTAACTATTTACTTTGTTTTTATTACTCACAAATCAAAAGACCACGTGGATTATCACTAATTAAAGAGACTCGCCCCATCAGTCTTCTGTTAGTCTAGTTAGCTTGTTAAATGACTTCATTAAAGTATTGGACGAAAATGGACATTTTGTGCATTTCTTAAAAAGTTTCTATTATTGTCACAAACACCAAAATTTTGGATATACAGTTGTATTTTGCCAATAAAAACACCAATATTTCCTCCTCTTTCTTTTTCCAAAAATTGAAGCGCCAACTTTCCTTCTTCTATATCTTTTCATAAAGTTGAAAATACCAAAATTTTGTGAAAATAATCAAATTAAATATAAATTATTTTAATCTATTTATAATAATAACTTTGTTAATAGTTAAATTGCCTATAATTTGAATATATATATACTATATTAATCTTATACACTGTCTTATAACTATTCATGATAAATATTGGCATTACGTTGATTTTAAAATTTTTATTTACTTTTTTGTGATTTTCTTAAAGAACTTAGTGTTTAAGTGAACTTCATTTTGTAATTTTGTAATTTTAAAAAAATAAGTTTTTAGTTTTAGAACAAAAAGCTTCATTTTGATAGACTATATATTATATAATATATTAATTATTAAACTCAATCGGGCGAGTCATGGGTTATTCAGGTTCAAATCAATTGAGTTACAGGTTTAATCTAGTTACAGGCCAATCAGGTTACAAATTATTCGAGTTGCGAGTCAGTCGAATTACTGATCAGACATGATATTAACTTTTAGTTAATTCGGATTGCAATCGAATTGCCAATTAGATTGAAAAGGCGAGTTACTCGAGTAGGGTTTTGTTTTGACACAAAGAGGGATGTGGGACACTAGTCAAAATCAGGGGCCAAATTAGAAGTAGAAACATCAATGAATCGTGCTCTCCAATATCCACCAGGGGCCCGGATCCTGTCCACAATCTTGTGGTCACTGGTCAGTAACCATGAGTAACCAGATTAATTTGAATTTTTAATTTTTAACGAACGATTTCTCTCTCGTTTTTAAGTTGAAATTTAATTTATTTGCACCGATAAATCAGATTAATTATGCCCTTTAAAATGATATCCTTGATATATTTTAGAACAAAGACATTTATTACTAGTATATACCATATGGTATTGATATTAGATAAGAGTATATCATATGATATGAAAGTGTATCATAATGGTATGAACTTACCAGACTATAAGATGGTTGAATACATGATAGTTGGAATATACTAACTGTCATTTACGACTTTCAACCATTAATTTTTTTTGGATTTGTTTTGGATTGGTAATTAATTAAATTTTTTTTATTTCAATCATTTAATTTTTCTGCTTTGCCTTATAAATCCTGTAATTTCAAATAGGGCCAATCAAGTTATTAAACTCTTACATTCATATTTTCAAGGATTTTTTTGGATTAGTGATTAATTAAATTTTACAAACATTAATAAAATTATAAATTCATATTCAATGTATAATAATATTGAAATTACATGTTAAAACACAAGATATTATTTTCATAGTATAATCATTTATTTTGAGTATAACATACTAGAAAATTTTAAATTAACTCTATTTATTGTTATAATATGTCGTTATAATTTTTTTATTTTACGATAATATACTAAATAACTCCCCCCCCCCCCCCAACCCCCAACTTTAAATCCTAGCTCAGCCCCTGACTTTCAACATTGTGTACATCAAGATACTACCCATATACCAGGTGGTATGGGTTGATAGATTTTGGTCATGTATTTTTTCTACCCAGAAATTTGTTAAACTAATAGATCATGATTAACTCATTCCTTCTATGCAAATATTTTCAAAAATGACTTAAAACGAAGGTGTGATATCATATAGTATGGAGTTGATAATTAGATGTATGAAATTCTTTCTCAAAAAATATTGAAACAGATCTCATTTTGTAGATCACAACGAACTCGTTTCATCTGTGCAAAAAAAAATTCAAGTTAAAATGAAAAAGATAAGAGCCAATTAAAAAACCTAAAGAAAATAAAAGGAGTTTAATTCTCAACTCTTAGATCTGGAATCTACTTAAAATGAAAGGGACATATTTTGGGCAGAAGAACTGGTCAGTAACTATTGGTTACTAACCTATGAGTAACTAAATCTGGACCTTTAGATCTAAGTGTGCCTAGAAAATCCAGATTTAAGGGTTGTGAATTAAAGACATTTTATTTTCCCTAGTTTTCTTAATCGATCTCTTATCTTCTTCGTTCTAACTCGGATTTCAATTTTTTTTTTTTTTGCATAGATAGAATGAGTTCGTTGTGCTCTACAAAATGAGATCAATTTTCAATATTTTTTTAGAATTGTTTTTTCATACCTCCCGTTATCAACTTCATACCATATTGTAAGTTCTTCGTTTTTATGTCATTTTTGAAAATATTTGCTCAGAAGGAACGAGTTCATCATGATCTATTGGATCTACAAATTTCTGGGCGAAAAAATACAGGACCAAAAATTACCATACTTTACCGCTCTGGTATGGGGGTGGTAACTTGTGGTAAACAATGATGAAAGTCGTAAATGACAGTTAGTATACTCCTACTATCATGTATTCTACCTTCCTATGGTCTTGGTATGTTCATAACATCATATACCCTTTTTTACCATATGGTATGCTCCTATTTAATACCATATGATATTGACGGGTAAAAAATGCCTCAATTTTTTTGTTCTAAAAATACCTATTTAATACCATATGATATTGACTGATATTAAATAAGAGTATACCATATGGTATGAAAAATACCACCCTGTACTAGGGTGGTATAGTATGGTATGGAGTTGTTAACGAGAGGTATGAAATTTTTTCACCCATAAAATTTTGAAATCCAATAGATCAATGATTAAATCGTTCCTTCTGTGCAAAAATTTCCGAAACCAACTAAAAAACAAAGGAGATACCATATGGTACGGAGTTGGTACTGAGAGGTATGAAAAAAATCTCTTAAAAAATATTAAAAATGGATCTCATTTTGTAGAGCACAACGAACTCGTTCCATGTGTGCAAAAAAAAAAAAATTGAATTCCAAGTTAGAATAAAGAAAATATGGTCGAATTAAAAAAACTAGAAAAAATAAATTTCTTTAATTCTCCATCCTATCTTGAGCCAGATTTTGTTAGTTATACAATATACACTATCTTATACCACCCGCCCCTGCCTTGTTATTTCCAGCCATTGGAGAACAGAAATGCTTCCTGCACAGCCAACTCAATAAATCAAGGCGATGATCAAGCCACAAACAGAGTCTCAAACAAGCTCGAGTGAGCTAGTTCAAGTGAGAATTAGATGGAAACGAGAAGGAATTCTTACAACTGGAAGAACACACAGTCGCTACGAGGTTGCCTTCGATATAATTGAGTGTGATCGCTCAATCCATAGGCTAGGGTTCAACAAGTTTTGAGACTTGAGTGCACCAAAACCAACACAAACTCCCAAGCTTGGGAATTGGGTTATATTCACTCGATTCTGTATATCAATGAAACAAAACACGACTCCAACCTTTTATAGGCACTTTACAAGCCTTAACCTACTCTAAAACAAATTAAAACTACACCTAATTCAACTAGGAAAGCAACTCTAATTAATCCTTGTGGCACTAGGATTTGTTGTCTTACAATACAAGGAAACAATCAGCTCGACCTCACAACTTGGGACTTCCGGAACTTGCATCAAATGAACTCCAATTCTTTAGCCAATGCCTCTGGATTGTAGATGGAAACATGTACTTTCATGTGGCAGAAGCCTCTGAACTCGATTCTCATCGATGCTTCTTGAATTGAGCTCTAAAGTAGGCTTCATGAACATGTTTTCTACCTTATCCATTTTCTGGTAGTTTTCCTGTTTAGAGGGAGGATTTTGGTGAGCTTGGAAAATGACCTTCTGGATTTCCTCTTGAGATTCCAAGCATACCAATGTACATATAATCATTGCATCTTCAATACAAGATATTAATCTTGAATTTCCATTGAACCAATTGTGAGAACCAAGCCTCTAAAGATAGTCACCTGCAACACAAAAAGGACTTAGCCAAATTTCACTCTCCTTCCTCTTAATCGAATTTGCTTCTTGGACGATCCTTCGAAGCTTGTAATGCAAGCAATTTGGGATCATATTAGAGTTGAGAAGACATGTATGAAATTCTTTCTCAAATAATATTGAATTAGATCTCTTTTTTTTTTTTGGTGAGAAAATTAGATCTCATTTTGTAGATAACAACGAATTCTTTTCATTTGTTTCTTTTCATTTGTGAAAAAAATTAAATTAAAATTAAAAAGATAAGAATCAATTAAAAAAAATTAAAGAAAATAAAAGACTTTTAATTCTCAACTCTTACATGTGGAATCTACTTAAATTTAAAATGAAAGTCAGATTTTGTAATGTAGGAGTTGTGCACCTATCTTAGACCACCCGCCCCCGCTTTGTTATTTCCCGCCATTGGAGAACTGAAATGCTTCCTGCGCGCTCCGTTTCTATTCCACTGCATCTCCACTCCGCCCCTCCAATTCGTATGGCACCAATTCAACGACTGTAATTGTGCTCGTTCACAATCTGCTTGGAAAAGAAAAACTCTGTCGACATTGATGGAAGCACAACGCAGAAATACTACTAGCAGCAGTGATAGAAGAAGGAAGCCGCTCTCCGATTGCAGCAACACCATCCTCCCACTCGGCTCCTCTGCTAGCTGTTCTTCCTTTTCCTCTTCGTCTGACATTCTCAAGAAACCCTTAAAAAAGCCAGTTGCCTCTTGTTCACAGCATCTCCATTCCGGCGACCATGTGAATCCCACCGAGAACCATCTCGATAAGGTTCAATCAAAGACCGGATCCACCACCGGCGGCGCTCTAGGATCCTCCTCCACTTCCACGCCGTTTCGCCCACGGCGCAATCCATCCTCGACCGTAGGTAATTTCGGGTTCTATCTTCCGCCTTCGTCGATTGCTTATTCTGAAATCGATTTTGCGAATCTAGGGTTTTGTCGGATTTTATTTTACGTGGTTAGTTCCTCATACATGATGAAAGTGTATCAGGTGGCGATGATGTTTGGGAGCCATCTCCGGTTTACTTGAGGAGACAGTCTGGAAGCAAAAGGAAGGACAAGGAGAAGGCAATTGATATGGCGGCTATAAAGAGTCAGTCTAGCAGGTATGTTCCCGATGTGGATATTTCTCTTGCTCGTAACTTCTGTTTTCGACTGTGATTAGAGATGTGCAAATTTACGGATTTGATTGGTTAAACCAACTGCAAAATTGAAATGGCAAATCTCTATGCTCTTGGAAGGTAGACCTAATGCGGTACTGAGAAGAAAGTTTTGGGATAGGGGATAGATCGGAGAGCATGAGGAGATGAGTTTAGAAAATACATATTAGGGTTTTTTTTTAATTACCTGTTGAACAAAGGATAGTTTAGTTTGAGCAGTATTCTGGGTGTACTGAATTGTTCTATATCAACTCCCATTAGCTAAAGCTCGACAGTGTTATCGCCTCTGCTATGTTTTGAAGCATGGGCGTTTTTCTTTGTTGCTTTTCCTGGGAACTACTGAAGCTTTTGTTATTTCGTGTGAGCTCTACAACTAGGTACCAGTTCAAATTGTATTTGATGGGAATGTTTTCTGCTCTTAGTGGTTACTTGCTTTTTTGAATTCTGGTTATTAGTCTCACTGATTGACTGCAGGGACAAAATAGATGAAGATGGAGGTACTGGTCTGTCCAAATCATTGATAGTAGCTCATAAAAAGGTTGGATACTCTGGTTCTTTTTATTTTGGAAAGTAGAATAATTCTTTTGGCTTTGCATCGGCCTTTTATTCAAACATATGGAGGACTGATTTAGTTGGCTTGGCTTTAAAATGTTCGGGAATAGTTGCTGCATCCTCCATTCAGTTACCTATGCCTGTTTTCTGTGATGCACCTATCATTGTGTTTCATTTACCCTCTTACCCTCTTTTTCTCCTTTGTGTGGCTTTGAGCTTTAGTGTTCTCTTTCTGCCGAAAGTACCTGCTTCATCTTGATTCTCCCACGTGTTCTCTTCTAGCATCCGTTTTTTAGGAAGCAACAGGATCCCATCCTTGATTATAGTTGCTGAAATTGGATTTTCGTAGGTTTGCTGGTTTCTTATGCCGTTCTTGCTGAGTTTGTCTGAAACGTCTTTTGGCTGCTTTGCTTATCCTACTTCTCAATGTTGACATGCAAATTCATTGTCCATTTGGTACTGAAGAAGATACGCCAGGCAACAGAGGTTCGAGATGATAATGAAGATAAAAGTTTCATCGAGCAACAGCAAGCGTACTTTGCTGAAATTGATGCGTTTGAACTGCTAGAAGAAGAGGTCGCTTCAGCTGATGAGTTGGAATGAGCAGAGGCAAGTAGATAAGAGTAACTTAGCCTATTTTATTTCTAGTCATGAGATTGTGATGATGTCGTTTACTGTATAGCTCCAGTTTTGTTACCATCTTATGTAGATGGCCTTAATTTCTAGTTACACGTTATAGTCCATTGTAGAGTGATGAATGCAGTAATGGCTTGAGTAGGGTAGAGATTTGACTCGTGGAATTTTCTTTAGTGGTAGTGGAGACAATTAGTTAGTCAAAATGAGGCACAGTACCTTTGTGGACCAGCAAATTTTCAGCCTACTGCGCTGGGAAGAGACACTTCCATGTTCTCTTCAGAATTGAAATGCATTTTAACTCGCCTTTGTCAACATACTTTGGGATCTTAATTCATGCTTTCCATATTTATCTTACAAATAGAGTTGCGATTCATTGTTTTGTCTATTGACATCCATTGGTAGAGTTTCTGAACCAGCAGGCTGCTTTTTCACTGCTTATTTATAACTAGGGCAGTTAAAGCAGCTTTAACATAAACATTGATCCATGTCCTCAATTAACTTTTCTGCAATCTGTTCTGACTTCTCCCTGGCTTCCCGTGAGGAGTTTGATGTTGCCCATTTTTATCATACCTTGGACGAAGTCCTTGAAGAACACGGAAGGTTGGTTGACGTAAGTTCTAACGATAGAATCCGCTTCAGAATTGCCACTAAAGAGCTCTTGATCCGAGTGAAGCAGGCCTTGCTTGCGAAGCAAGTTTCTGTAGTAGCAGTTGTCAAAGTGAGTTGGAGTCTTGAGATCAAGAGGGGCAAGCACACCATCGCTCCCACTTCTCGGGCAGATTTGCTGCAGCGATTCGGCAAACGAAGGATCGATATCAGAATCGTTGTAGATGTGCCCTCGGAATGACACACATCTTGCTACCCCTATTGTGTGCCCACCTGCCAAAAAAAAAAAAAAAACCAAGAGGACCACCTCAGTTCAATGATTCTGCAAATGGAAGCAGCTCCACCAAATTGTTGAATAATCGGCCTCTACCTGAAAGTGAAATAAGGTCGCGGAAAGAAAGACCCTGTGCTGAAAAACTCGCGGCAAGAGCGGTCAGGTTGAAAGTAGGCGGAGGGATGGAAGTGTTGACGGCAGCTCTGCCTGCTGTCAAAGAATCCTTTCTTCCCAAGTCCACTTCCCAGGAAGGCCCACCCAGCTGCATCCACACATGACAAAACATAGTCATGAAAACATAAAGACATGCCATATATACATTTCAGAAGAAAAAAAGTCTGCTTTTGATGTTGGAGTGTCGTGTTTGTACGTAAACCACAGAGTCTCTGGCAGCCAAGGTGAGAATATCAGCACAAGACACAACTCCAGGGCAAGCCTCCTCCAACTCAGCCTTGATGTTATCAATCACATCATACCCTCTCACTGATTGGTTAGGAACTGCAGTTTTCTCAGTAGCGATGCTTGCAGTTTCGTCCAAGAGAATGGAAGCCTCGCAGCCCTGCAAAAACGCAGGGGTGAAATAGAAGGTCGATAAAAAGACTCGAGAGTCAGAAAGCAGCATACAAAAAGGCAGAGTAACTTCCATACATTAACAAAGCAGTCATGGAAATGGAGACGAAGTAGTGATGCCCCAATCCGTGTTTCTTTCTGTATAGCTGCCACAACGCCAGCTTGTACTATGGCCAATGCTTTCGGGCAGGTCGTCGAGTAATATGCTGGCGACAGCTTGCCGCCAGTAGCTGCTGCGAGAGTTGCAGCAGCAGCTGCAAGTAGAAGGGAGAGGCAGAGGATTTTGTTGGGAGCCATGGGGGGATCTGTTCTTGCAAAAAATGGATGAAGGACTGGCTCATATTATAGTGCGAGTAGAAATCCTCACATGCATGCACAAGAACAGTAATTAGGATGGTGGGCTCTAGTTGATTTTGAGGCCTTCAAATTAGAAAATTATTGAGCTCATTGAATATATAGAGAATCATTAGTTTCTCATAGTAATGAGTCACCACATCTCATTTTCTTTTTTTTCCTGATAAAGATATTGTTTGTTTCGGGTTTAGATATGTACAATGTTATTTTTGGGTGCATTAAAATGACTTCTCAAGAAGTCCCTTATATTTGCACTGTTTTATACTGAACACGTTTAACTTTAGAGTTCTTATTAGAACTCGTCAATTTCACCTCAAATACGCCTTGTGAGTTAAAGTTAAATTGTTCCTTGTAACTAATGAATTTCTCTCGTACTTTGTCTACAATTGTCTAAACTGTTCAATTTCCATAATTTGCCTAAACTGTTCAACAAAGAATTTATTTAAAATGCCAGAAATGACATATAACCGTTGGATGGGAAGTACTTCAATAGACAGAGAAAGGTTGTTAAAACATTAATAATATTGTTATGGAACAGCGGGTTTGAAATTTCTTCAATCCTGTAAGGGATCTGTTGAGATAATTGGACTTAACAAACAAACTGTTGTTCTCTTTATGATGAAATCTGTAGTAAGGAAATGACAACGGATGATGGGGATATAAGTAAACAAGTCAATATGATAATGTTGCTTCGAGTGATCGAGAAATCGAAGGATGATGTGGAGAGTGGAAACACCTTTCTAGCAAAAAATAATCGCCGACATACTGAGGGGCGGAGCCAGTGTTGAATGGTAACAAGGGATATATCTATACTAGTTGGTGCCCGGCCCTTGGCCGGAATAGTTTTTGTCCTTGTTTACCTTAATAAAAATTTCATGTCACCCTTTCACGTATAATTGCACATTCTCAATTATTTCAATTGAATTACTTATATCTTGATTTTCTTCTGAATTTTGCTTGATATTTCAACCACAAAATACCAAATTGCAAAATATGTTCGCATCATTTTCATCAAAGCACTCGATTGTTAATAAAAGATAATGATTCTATATACTTATGTCACTAACTACGGTACGAAGTTTGCTTCTTAATTGAAACCTTGTATCCTGAGTTCATAAATACTCATAAGAGCCAAAAAAAATATATATATATATATATATATATATATATATATATAATAAACCTGTTTGAGCCTAACTGGGTGTAGGAGTGAGACTCGGGAAGATGGGTCAAGGAGAGTAAGCAATGGGAGAACAACCGTCAATGTAAGAACTGAGGAAAACTACGAATAGAGTTGAGAGGGTAATATCTTAGAGAGAGAAGTTGATAATCTTAGAGATAGAGTCAGAAAAATCTGATCCCCTCACCCACCGAAGTAAATGCCTTATTTATAGGCTACATGGTGGTGGGTGAGTTACATGGTGACATGTCATGGTGACATGACCACTGACATGTCAGAAGACTAGACCATACCTCTACCTAGGACAAGTACATTTAGCCTTTCATTATACCTAGGACTAGGACTGCGATGTGACCACTCGGTAGGTGGGACACGGCGTCGTTTTCCCATACTCGCTGATCTAGTCAACGCTGGACTCGGGCTGCCCTTGGACGCGCCGGTGCTGATGCGCCCGTCTCTAGGTATTGGCGCTCGCCGGTGTGTTTGCTCGCGCCGGTGCTTGTGCGCCCGTCTCTTGGTATTGGCGCTCGACGGTGTGTTCGCTCGCGCCGGTATCACGGCCAACTCTTCTGATGTCGGTGTTTCTTTGGCGCGGCGGAATCCGAGTCACATGCCCAACAATTGCCCCCCATCAGGGGGTGTTCCGCGGACGCCGCCTGTTTGACCTCCGCGCGATTGACTCGCGTCCGCGTGATCTTCGTGGGCGGTTTAAGATTGGCGTCCTCTGATTTCTGCGCGATCTTCGTGAGTTGAGGGCAGGTGGGTTTTTTTTTTTGTTGCGCACGCTCGACTCGTCTGCGCGTGACGCTTTCTACTAAGCTTGGACTTTTGAGGGTGTGTCGTGCCCCCTGGTGTTTTTAGGGCTGACGCCATTCGGTTTCCGGGCGATTGACTCGGGTCTGCATGATTTTTTGCGCGTGAATGACTTGACTGCGCGTGACGCTTTCTACTAAGCTTGGGCTTTGGGGGTGTTTTTTCTCTCCGCGGGTGTGCCATGCCCCCCAGGCGATGCGCGGAGCTTGTGACGTCATCGGCTAGTGCCTATGCCTATGTTAGGTGTCCACGTATCCTTGTGTGGTTGGTTCGTTTTGGCGGCCGTTTTGAATTTCGAAAAGGCTCTGACGGTTGCGTTTTTCGAAACAACTTTAACCTTTCAGCTTCCCTCTCTCAGTTATAAATAGTTAGCCATCAGAGGAGTTGGAACCCATTCTGCCTCTTCCAACTCTGTTTCTTATTCTCTCTGCCTCGGGTGTGTTCGAGATTCGTCTCCTTCTTCTACAACCTCTCTTCTCAACCTGTTGTTGCCAAAATTCAGAGTCTGCCATGGCTAACGTCAACGAGATCGAGGTCGTACAAGACGAAGAAGGTAATCTCTTCTCTCCCTCCCATGTTTCTACTGATCCTTCGTTGGATCTGGCTGATTCCGACAACAGGGGCGACGGCGGTGCTGGCGACGGTGGGGTTCCGGCGACACCGTCTTACGACGTCGATTCGGAACAGGACTGTCGTGGCTCGTCCGATGTGGATGCGATGGTGTCTTAGAGTGGGTCGTCCGGCACCGGTGCTCGTGGTGTGCTGATAATCCGGCGTGACCGTGCGGGTGCGTCTGGGAGTGCGAATCGTGAGTCTGACACGCAATCAGAGCCGCGCTGTATCGTGCGCGTATCCGAGGCGATAAGCCGCCTAGGGTTCTGCGGTGTGGGCGCGGCTTACAAGATAATAGATTGGGCGAAGATGTGGGGCAATCAGCAAGCGCCGCAAGACAGCCTATTAAGGGGGCCCGATCACGCGTCAATCTACGGGCGGAGGGAAGTGACGGAGATTGTGCGCGGGTTGGGTTTGCCCTCCCCCCCCCCCCCCCCCCCCCCCCCCCAAGAGGCCCGATGTTTTTGTGTATGGGTCTCCCAAGTTGAAGAAGACTTGGTTCGAGCGCTTCTTCTACGTTAAGCCCACGCGGGGGGAGTGGGCGAGTGAGCACATGGAGGAGCCGACGGTTTGGAAGAAGGGTAGCACGCACGACTACGAGCGTGACCTGGGAAAATATGACAGGCTCGACGCTGAATATGAAGCGTGCCTGAATCATAAGTTTAACCTATATTTGGGCGGGGCCCGCGAAGCTTGTTTGGCAGAGCTCTTTGCTGATGGTTAGTTGCGTCTCTTTCCTTATGCATTCTATCATATTAACCGCTCTCTTACGATTTATTGGCGCAGGTGTTGACTTCTCCAGCCTAGTCAGCATGATGTCAGTGGACGATGTGGTCGGCAAAGCTCCGCGAGCTTCGCGTGGCGGAAAGAGGAAGTCGAAGGAGACCGCGCCGTTTGAGCGCGTGAAGAGGAAGGGGGTTGAGCAGCCATCGGTGGCGGAGAAACCCCGCAAGGCGGCTCGGGTTGACCCTCAACCTGAACGGGTGGTTGAGCAGGCGGCTCAACCTAAGCAGGTGGCTGAGCGGGCGGCACAACAGTTGCCGCTCGTGATTGTGGATGGGGACGCGCCTGGTGCGCTAGTGGATGCGGCTTCGCGTCCAGAAAAATCAGCAGCCAGAAACTCGTCTGGTGCGACGCTTCAGCAGAAGCTGCCCGAGATGGCTTCTGCGATCAACTACTTTCGCGACGTGCGGATGCACACCGGCGCGGCGTGCAATAGCGTAGCAGCAAATACCGCGGTCCGCGCGTTGGGGCCTCACCTGAGTACCCCTGCGCGGATGGAGAAGTCTGATCCGCTGCAAGACCTGGCTCAGATTCATTTCGCGGTGAGGTTATTTTTGATTGCTTCGACGTAATGTGAAATCCTTACTAATTTTTTGCTAAGTCTTGGGGCGCTTGTGAATGTAGGGTTTGCTGGCGGCCTTCCGGGCCCAAAAGGAACGGGGTTCGCACCACGCGAAGCTGCAGGCGGAGCAATCGAAGATTGTTCAGCTGGAGGGCAAGATCGCGGGTGCTCAGAATCGCGCCGAGGTGGCAACAACCAAGGCCAACGAGGCCATGGAGGAGCTCGGCGTTCTGCAGAGTAAGCTGGCGTCGAATGTGGAGGCCGCCACGGCGCGCATTCGGGCGGAGTTGGAAGCAGATCATGCTGAGAAGCTCAAGCAAGCCCGCGAGGAGTTTCAGAAGGAGAAGGACGACCTGGTTCGCCTTCATAACGTCGCGAAGGCAGAAGCTGTGCGCGCCTCTGAGGTCGCTGCCGTCCCTCAATACAAGTCTTCACCCGCCTTTGGGAAGATTTTGGTGGACGCCATGACTAAGACCGTGATTGCCATTCGCAAAAAGGTGTGCCCGGAGAACCCGGGGGTCCGCTGGAACACTGGGGCGATGGTGCGTCATGTTCAGACTTGGCTGGGTGAGAAGAGGTCTTTGGAGGAGGACTCGGAGACGGAGGACGACGAGGAGGAAGAAGCGTGCTCGGATGAGGGTGAGGACGAGGAAAGCGAAGCGGAGAAGGACGGACAGGGCAATGCTGCGCAGGCGAATGCTGAGAATGCTTCGACGGAGCAGCAAGTGTAATCGCGCTACAAGTGTGATCGCGCTGTTTTGAGATTTTTTTTTATCAAGTGTAGTTCTTCCTTTTCTCTCTATCATGTGTAGTTCTTCCTTTCTCCCACTAATGAAATCCAAAACGTTCTCCTTTTTCATTCTTCTGAACGGTGTTGGCGCGAATAACTCGTGGTTATTGTTATATGTTGTTCTTTCGAACTTTGGGGGCGCGAATAACTTCTTGGTTATAGCTACTTTCTGTTCTTTCGAACTGTGTTGGCGCGAATAACTCTTAGTTATTGCTATTTTTTGTTCTTTCGAACTGTGTTGGCGCGAATAACTTCTTGGTTATTGCTACTTTTTGTTCTTTCAAACTGTGTCGGCGCAAATAACTCTTAGTTATTGCTATTTTTTGTTCTTT